TATAAATTCTTTAAATCAGGTTGGGTCCAGATCCGGACCCCATCCAAAAATCTAATAATTCTGATTATAATTTAAACTTCTTATTATCTTATATTGTGTTTTTGTTCTCGCAAAAGGTCACGGCTTTCGTTAACTTTAGAAATGTATGAGTATTTCTTCCTTATTAATGAAGAAGAGAAAAAAAATCATCCCAGAGTTTGTGCTTTCTGTATTTTCTTTTATTTGTGTGTTGTTATTGAAAAAAAATTTGAAAGATGGAACTTTTAGGAACTTTTCAGTCATAAAAAGGGTTTTGAGTGTTACTTCTATTTTTCATGATTTGCTATTTTTACAAGTTTCTTTTTCCAAATGTTTTTTTTAAATATATATTCTAAAATCATATTTTTTTTTATTCTCTTTTTCTTTAGTTTTTTTTTTTTCAGATAGTCATGAGCATGGAACCAATAGAATGTAGTCTACTCCGCTTGGTCTTTAGCAAAGGCATTCCCATTGGTTCACCTACAGAACACTCAAACAAGTTGTGGGCAGATTTAAGAGGAATGCTGTTTGTAAAACTCATGTTTTTCCAACAAAAAATTGAGAAAAAAAAGAGAGAAAAAAACTTAAAAATAATTAAAAAAAAAGAAATTTAAAAATATATTTGAAAATTTTTCTTTAAAGTATTTTTAAATTTATATTGGAAATAGCAGCAACTCAAAAAATATTGGGTTAACTTTAAAAAAAACACTTTTTATTTGCAAAGTTCCATTTCTAAATTATTTAAATTTATTTTTTTTAAACATGTTCTTTGCTTCAAATAATATTGTGACAAACGTATCTCTATATTTCCAGCCTTACAATCATGAGGGGCCCATAGATTCCAGGGGCCTCAGACAACGACTTTGCTAAAGTTTAGCCCTGCGCCGGTAAACTACATTGAAACTTATCATCTCAAAGCCCAAAAAATTAAATGAAATAAACTTTTGTTGGAGTGGGCTGCCTGTTGTTTAAATTTCCATCATGAAAAATATGAATGTGTAAACATCAATTTAGAGTTTGTGTGTATGCTTTTATTTTGAAAGTCCAGCCGGATGTAGCTGGAGCACCGCTCAGCAGCTTGAACAATCTGCGGTCTTCCCTCCGCAGACACCGGGCTGTCTCTCACATCCCCGCCCGTCTGTCTGTCAGCCTGATGGGGCGCATCCGGAGCCCCGCGGCCGGGGGTGTCTCACTCCGCCCCGCCTCGATCATTCATCACACTCCGGTGTTTTTCAACCCAAACCCCATCAGATCTGGAATATATCTAAATTCTTCTCATCTTGTCAAGTTTTTAAATCTTGATTAAAGTCCATAAAATCTGGGGTTTTATTTCCACATTCTTCAGGTCTGGTGTGTAAAGTTTCCCTCTGAGCTCAGAACCAGCAGCTTGTTTCAGGATCATGAATAATTTAATGCTTTGATGATCAGTGGGAAACCAGACTACAGCCAGGAAGCTGAGAGCGACATCAATTCAGGATAATAACACAAGGTTTAACAGGAAAAAAAAAACGGTTTTCTGGTTATTTTAAATAGAAATATGATTAAAATCAACTCTATTTCCCTAGAAAACCACAACCAGAAATAACTTGTAACTAAAAATAACATTAACTTCATCCTTAAGATCTGATTTAGGCCCCGTCCACACGAAGT